TGATAGAAAACATATAATTTCTAGTAGAAAGACAGCAAGCACTATGCAACCTACAATATTTATTAAACTCACAAAAAAAATGAAAACGGACAAAAACTTAACATTATTTTTTTTTGTGAAACAAGTCGGAATGCATCGATGCTAAAACTTGAGAAGTGGTCTAAAGTTACGATTCTTGATTGATGTCTCATTTAAGCTAGCGGAAGAAATTACATTTCTAATAAAAAGACTGCAAACACAAAACAACTTAGAAAGAAACTATTAAACTCTTGATTTGTGAAATATGTAGGAATGCATCGTAAGTAACAGCATGGCACAGTGGTCTAGAGGTATGATTTTTGCTTTGGGTGCGAGAGGTCCGGGAATCAATTCCCGGCCGTCCGCAATATACTAACCGAAATCATTATACTTGACAGTAGAAAAAAAGTGCATCTACCGGCTGTTCCCAGTAACTAAAACAAACTTCCTGTAGAAAGTCAGCAAACACTAAGCAACTTAAAATGATTCTTAAATTCACCAAAACGGATAAAAACGAAGAAATCTTTTTTTTTGTGAAACAAGTAGAAATGCATCGTAACTAAATATATAGTGTCATTGGGGGCAGCCGGGAAAGACAGACTCATACCACTAGACCGCAGAAAACGCTATGATCTTGATTTGCCAAGTATGTAGAAATGCATCGAAGGCAAATCCATGGACAGTGATCCAGTGGTATGATTCTCGCTTAGGGTGAGAGACAACCCGATTTCAAACCCAGTTGTCCCCAATAAACATACAGAAAAAAGTTTATTTTTTCTAGTAGAAAAAATAGCTAACAGTAAACAACTTAAAAGAATTATTACACCCACAAAAACTCATCAAAACAAAAAAAAACTGTTAAAAAACGCAATGATCTTGATTTGCGAAATATGCAGGAATGCATCGAAGCTTAACACGTGGGACAGTGGTCTAGTTGTATGATTCTCGCTTAGGGTGCGAGAGGTTCTGGGTTCAAGTACCGGCTGTCGCCAGAATACTGATAGAAAACATATAATTTCTAGTAGAAAGACAGCAAGCACTATGCAACCTACAAAATTTATTAAACTCACAAAAAAAATGAAAACGGACAAAAACTTAACATTATTTATTTTTGTGAAACAAGTCGGAATGCATCGACGCTAAAACTTGAGAAGTGGCCTAAAGTTACGATTTTTGATTGATGTCTCATTTAAGCTAGCAGAAGAAATTACATTTCTAATAAAAAGACTGCAAACACAAAGCAACTTAGAAAGAAACTATTAACCTCACTACTACGAGGAAAAACGAACAAAAAAAGATTAATCTTGATTTGTGAAATATGTAGGAATGCATCGTAAGTAACAGCATGGGACAATGGTCTAGAGGTATGATTTTCGCTTTGGGTGCGAGAGGTCCCGGGTTCAATTCCCGGCTGTCCCCAATATACTAACCGAAATAATTATACTTGACAGTAGAAAAAAAGGCATCTACCGGCTATTCCCAGTAACTAAAACAAACTTCCTGTAGAAAGTCAGCAAACACTAAGCAACTTAAAATGATTCTTAAATTCACCAAAACGGATAAAAACGAAGAAATCTTTTTTTTTGTGAAACAAGTAGAAATGCATCGTAACTAAATATATAGTGTCATTGGGGGCAGCCGGGAAAGACAGACTCATACCACTAGACCGCAGAAAACGCTATGATCTTGATTTGCCAAGTATGTAGAAATGCATCGAAGGCAAATCCATGGACAGTGATCCAGTGGTATGATTCTCGCTTAGGGTGAGAGACAACCCGATTTCAAACCCAGTTGTCCCCAATAAACATACAGAAAAAAGTTTATTTTTTCTAGTAGAAAAAATAGCTAACAGTAAACAACTTAAAAGAATTATTACACCCACAAAAACTCATCAAAACAAAAAAAAACTGTTAAAAAACGCAATGATCTTGATTTGCGAAATATGCAGGAATGCATCGAAGCTTAACACGTGGGACAGTGGTCTAGTTGTATGATTCTCGCTTAGGGTGCGAGAGGTTCTGGGTTCAAGTACCGGCTGTCGCCAGAATACTGATAGAAAACATATAATTTCTAGTAGAAAGACAGCAAGCACTATGCAACCTACAAAATTTATTAAACTCACAAAAAAAATGAAAACGGACAAAAACTTAACATTATTTATTTTTGTGAAACAAGTCGGAATGCATCGACGCTAAAACTTGAGAAGTGGCCTAAAGTTACGATTTTTGATTGATGTCTCATTTAAGCTAGCAGAAGAAATTACATTTCTAATAAAAAGACTGCAAACACAAAGCAACTTAGAAAGAAACTATTAACCTCACTACTACGAGGAAAAACGAACAAAAAAAGATTAATCTTGATTTGTGAAATATGTAGGAATGCATCGTAAGTAACAGCATGGGACAATGGTCTAGAGGTATGATTTTCGCTTTGGGTGCGAGAGGTCCCGGGTTCAATTCCCGGCTGTCCCCAATATACTAACCGAAATAATTATACTTGACAGTAGAAAAAAAGGCATCTACCGGCTATTCCCAGTAACTAAAACAAACTTCCTGTAGAAAGTCAGCAAACACTAAGCAACTTAAAATGATTCTTAAATTCACCAAAACGGATAAAAACGAAGAAATCTTTTTTTTTGTGAAACAAGTAGAAATGCATCGTAACTAAATATATAGTGTCATTGGGGGCAGCCGGGAAAGACAGACTCATACCACTAGACCGCAGAAAACGCTATGATCTTGATTTGCCAAGTATGTAGAAATGCATCGAAGGCAAATCCATGGACAGTGATCCAGTGGTATGATTCTCGCTTAGGGTGAGAGACAACCCGATTTCAAACCCAGTTGTCCCCAATAAACATACAGAAAAAAGTTTATTTTTTCTAGTAGAAAAAATAGCTAACAGTAAACAACTTAAAAGAATTATTACACCCACAAAAACTCATCAAAACAAAAAAAAACTGTTAAAAAACGCAATGATCTTGATTTGCGAAATATGCAGGAATGCATCGAAGCTTAACACGTGGGACAGTGGTCTAGTTGTATGATTCTCGCTTAGGGTGCGAGAGGTTCTGGGTTCAAGTACCGGCTGTCGCCAGAATACTGATAGAAAACATATAATTTCTAGTAGAAAGACAGCAAGCACTATGCAACCTACAAAATTTATTAAACTCACAAAAAAAATGAAAACGGACAAAAACTTAACATTATTTATTTTTGTGAAACAAGTCGGAATGCATCGACGCTAAAACTTGAGAAGTGGCCTAAAGTTACGATTTTTGATTGATGTCTCATTTAAGCTAGCAGAAGAAATTACATTTCTAATAAAAAGACTGCAAACACAAAGCAACTTAGAAAGAAACTATTAACCTCACTACTACGAGGAAAAACGAACAAAAAAAGATTAATCTTGATTTGTGAAATATGTAGGAATGCATCGTAAGTAACAGCATGGGACAATGGTCTAGAGGTATGATTTTCGCTTTGGGTGCGAGAGGTCCCGGGTTCAATTCCCGGCTGTCCCCAATATACTAACCGAAATAATTATACTTGACAGTAGAAAAAAAGGCATCTACCGGCTATTCCCAGTAACTAAAACAAACTTCCTGTAGAAAGTCAGCAAACACTAAGCAACTTAAAATGATTCTTAAATTCACCAAAACGGATAAAAACGAGGAAATCTTTTTTTTTTTGTGAAACAAGTAGAAATGCATCGTAACTAAATACATAGTGTCATTGGGGGCAGCCGGGAAAGACAGACTCATACCACTAGACCGCAGAAAACGCTATGATCTTGATTTGCCAAGTATGTAGAAATGCATCGAAGGCAAATCCATGAACAGTGATCCAGTGGTATGATTCTCGCTTAGGGTGAGAGACAACCCGATTTCAAACCCAGTTGTCCCCAATAAACATACAGAAAAAAGTTTATTTTTTCTAGTAGAAAAAATAGCTAACAGTAAACAACTTAAAAGAATTATTACACCCACAATATGTAGGAATGCATCGAAGTCAAATCTTTGGACAGTGGTATGATTCTCGCTTAGGGTGCGAAAGAGCCCGATTTGAAACCCAGTTGTACCCAATAAACATACAGAAAGAAGTTTATTTTTTCTCCACAAAACTCATCAAAAAAAATAACTGTTAAAAACGCAATGATCTTGATTTGCGAAATATGTAGGAATGCAGCGTACCTAACGGTATGGGACAGTGGTCTAGAGGTATGATTCTCGCTTTGGGTGCGAGAGGTCCCGGGTTCAATTCCCGGCTGTCCCCAATATACTAACCGAAATAATTATACTTGACAGTAGAAAAAAAAGTGCAACTACCGGCTATTCCCAGTAACTATAACAAACTTCTTGTAGAAAGACAGCAAACACTAAGCAACTTAAAATTGATTATTAAACTCATAAAAACGAAGAAATCTTTTTTTTGTGAAACAAGTAGAAATGCATCGTAACTATACATTGGGGGCAGCCGGGAAAGACCGAATCATACCACTAGACCGCAGAAAATGCAATGACCTTGATTTGACAAATATGTAGGAATGCATCGAAGGCAAATCTTTGGACAGTGGTATGATTCTCGCTTAAGGTGCGAAAGAATTCGAATAGAAACCCAGTTGTACCCAATAAACATACAGAAAGAAGTTTATTTTTTCTAGTAGAAAAAGTAGCTAACAGTAAACAATTTAAAAGAATTGTTACACCCACAAAAACTCATCAAAACAAAAAAAAACTGTTAAAAAACGCAATGATCTTGATTTGCCAAATATGTAGGAATGCATCGAAGTCAAATCTTTGGACAGTGGTATGATTCTCGCTTAGGGTGCGAAAGAGCCCGATTTGAAACCCAGTTGTACCCAATAAACATACAGAAAGAAATTTATTTTTTCTCCACAAAACTCATCAAAAAAAATAACTGTTAAAAACGCAATGATCTTGATTTGCGAAATATGTAGGAATGCAGCGTACCTAACGGCATGGGACAGTGGTCTAGACTAGAGGTATGATTCTCGCTTTGGGTGCGAGAGGTCCCGGGTTCAATTCCCGGCTGTCCCCAATATACTAACCGAAATAATTATACTTGACAGTAGAAAAAAAAGTGCAACTACCGGCTATTCCCAGTAACTATAACAAACTTCTTGTAGAAAGACAGCAAACACTAAGCAACTTAAAATTGATTATTAAACTCATAAAAACGAAGAAATCTTTTTTTGTGAAACAAGTAGAAATGCATCGTAACTATACATTGGGGGCAGCCGGGAAAGACCTAATCATACCACTAGACCGCAGAAAATGCAATGACCTTGATTTGACAAATATGTAGGAATGCATCGAAGGCAAATCTTTGGACAGTGGTATGATTCTCGCTTAAGGTGCGAAAGAACTCGAATAGAAACCCAGTTGTACCCAATAAACATACAGAAAGAAGTTTATTTTTTCTAGTAGAAAAAATAGCTAACAGTAAACAATTTAAAAGAATTGTTACACCCACAAAACTCATCAAAAAAAATAATTGTTAAAAAACGCAATGATCTTGATTTGCGAAATATGTAGGAATGCATCGTAACTAAATGCATGGGACAGTGGTCTAGAGGTATGATTCTCGCTTTGGGTGCGAGAGGTCCCGGGTTCAATTCCCGGCTGTCCCCAATATACTAACCGAAATAATTATACTTGACAGTAGAAAAAAGTGCATCTACCGGCTATTCCCAGTAACTAAAACAAACTTCCTGTAGAAGGACAGCAAACACTAAGCAACTTAAAATGATTCTTAAATTCACCAAAACGGAAAAAAACGAAGAAATCTTTTTTTGTGAAACAAGTAGAAATGCATCGTAACTAAATACATAGTGTCATTGGGGGCAGGCGGGAAAGACAGACTCATACCACTAGACCGCAGAAAATGCAATGATCTTGATTTGACAAATATGTAGGAATGCATCGAAGGCAAATCTTTGGACAGTGGTATGATTCTCGCTTAGGGTGCGAAAGAACCCGAATAGAAACCCAGTTGTACCCAATAAACATACAGAAAGAAGTTTATTTTTTCTAGTAGAAAAAATAGCTAACAGTAAACAATTTAAAAGAATTGTTACACCCACAAAACTCATCAAAAAAAATAACTGTTAAAAAACGCAATGATCTTGATTTGCAAAATATGTAGGAATGCATCGTAATTAACAGCATGGGACAGTGGTCTAGAGGTATGATTCTCGCTTTGGGTGCGAGAGGTCCCGGGTTCAATTCCCGGCTGTCCCCAATATACTAACCGAAATTATTATACTTGACAGTAGAAAAAAGTGCATCTACCGGCTATTCCCAGTAACTAAAACAAACTTCCTATAGAAAGACAGCAAACACTAAGCAACTTAAAATGATTCTTAAATTCAACAAAACGGAAAAAAAACGAAGAAATCTTTTTTTTGTGAAACAAGTAGAAATGCATCGTAACTAAATACATAGTGTCATTGGGGGCAGGCGGGAAAAACAGACCCATACCACTAGACCGCAGAAAACGCAATGATCTTGATTTGCCAAGTATGTAGGAATGCATCGAAGGCAAATCCATGGAGAGTGGTATGATTCTCGCTTAGGGTGCGAGACAACCCGATTTCAAACCCAAACGTCCCCAATAAACATACAGAAAAAAGTTTATTTTTTCTAGTAGAAAAAATAGCTAACAGTAAACAACTCAAAAGAATTATTACACCCACAAAAACTCGTCAAAACAAAAAAAACTGTTAAAAAACGCAATGATCTTGATTTGCGAAATATGTAGGAATGCATCGAACCTTAACACATTAGTGGTTTGATTCTCGCTTAGGGTGCGAGAGTTTCTGGGTTCAAGTCCCGGCTGTCGCCAAAATACTGAAAGAGAACATATAATTTCTAGTAGAAAGACAGCAATTACTAATAAACCTACAAAATTTATTAAACTCACAAAAAAAAACAAATGAAAACGGACAAAAACTTAACATTCTTTTTTTTGTGAAACAAGTCGGAATGCATCGATGCTTAAACTAGGGAAGTGGTCTAAAGTTACGATTCTTGATTAGAGCGGTAAAAATTCCGGGTTTAAACAGCGGATGTCTCATTTAAGCTAGCAGAAAAAATTACATTTTCTGATAAAAGGACTGCAAACACAAGGCAACTTAGAAAGAAACTGTTAAACTCGCTAATACGAAGAAAAACGAACAAAAAAATAATCTTGATTTGTGAAATATGTAGGAACGCATCGTAACTAACAGCATGGGACAGTGGTCTAGAAGTATGATTCTCGCTTTGGGAGCGAGAGGTCCCGAGTTCAATTCCCGTCTGTCCCCATTATACTAACAGAAATAATTATACTTGACAGTAGAAAAAAAGTGCAACTACCGGCTATCCCCAGTAACTAAAACAAACTTCCTGTAGAAAGACATCAAACACTAAGCAACTTAAAATGATTCTTAAATTCACCAAAACGGAAAAAAAACGAAGAAATCTTTTTTTGTGAAACAAGTAGAAATGCATCGTAACTAAATACATAGTGTCATTGGGGGCAGGCGGGAAAGACAGACTCAGACCACTAGACCGCAGAAAACGCATTAATCTTGATTTGCCAAGTATGTAGGAATGCATCGAAGGCAAATCCATGGACAGTGGTATGATTCTCGCTTAGGGTGCGAGACAACCCGATTTCAAAACCAAATGTCCCCAATAAACATTCAGAAAAAAGTTTATTTTTTCTAGTAGAAAAAATAGCTAACAGTAAACAACTCAAAAGAATTATTACACCCACAAAAACTCGTCAAAACAAAAAAACTGTTAAAAAACGCAATGATCTTGATTTGCGAAATATGTAGGAATGCATCGAACCTTAACACATTAGTGGTTTGATTCTCGCTTAGGGTGCGTGAGTTTCTGGGTTCAAGTCCCGGCTGTCGCCAAAATACTGAAAGAGAACATATAATTTCTAGTAGAAAGACAGCAATTACTAAGAAACCTACAATATTTATTAAACTCACAAAAAACATGAAAACGGACAAAAACTTAACATTCTTTTTTTTTGTGAAACAAGTCGGAATGCATCGATGCTTAAACTAGGGAAGTGGTCTAAAGTTACGATTCGTGATTAGAGCGGTAAAAATTCCAGGTTTAAACAGCGGATGTCTCATTTAAGCTAGCAGAAAAAATTACATTTTCTGATAAAAGGACTGCAAACACAAGGCAACTTAGAAAGAAACTGTTAAAATCGCTGAAACGAAGAAAAACGAACAAAAAATAATCTTGATTTGTGAAATATGTAGGAACGCATCGTAACTAACAGCATGCGACAGTGGTCTAGAAGTATGATTCTCGCTTTGGGAGCGAGAGGTCCCGAGTTCAATTCCCGGCTGTCCCCATTATACTAACAGAAATAATTATACTTGACAGTAGAAAAAAAGTGCAACTACCGGCTATTCCCAGTAACTATAACAAACTTCTTGTAGAAAGACAGCAAACACTATTAAACTCACCAAAACGGACAAAAACGAAGAAATCTTTTTTTGTGAAACAAGTAGAAATGCATCGTAACTAAATACATAGTCTCATTGGGGGCAGCCGGGAAAGACAGAGTCATACCACTAGACCGCAGAAAACGCAATGATTTTGATTTGCCAAATATGTAGGAATGCATCGACTGCAAATCTTTGGACAGTGGTATGATTCTCACTTTGGGTGCGAGAGAACCCAATTTCAAACCCAGTTGTCCCCAATAAAATTACAGAAAAAAGTTCATATTTTTAGTAGAAAAATTAGCTAACAGTAAGCAACTTAAAAGAATTATTAAACCCACAAATGCTCAGCAAAAATAAAAAAAACGGTTAAAAAAGCATTGATCGTCCTTTGTGAAAAACATAGTAAGGCATCGCAGCGAAAGTCGGAGGACAGTGGTCTAGCGGTATGATTCTCGCTTAGTGTTCGAGAGGTCTCGGGTTCAAATCCCGGTTGTCCCCAATTCACATGCATAGAAAAAATTATAATTTCTAGTAGAAAAATAGCTAACAGTAAGCAACTTAAAATGATTATCAAACCCAAAAAAACTCATCAAAACCAAAAAGAAAAGATTTAAAAAAATTGCATTGACCATGATTTGCGAAAAATGTAGAAGTGCATCGATAATTAATTCTAACTAACCCCAGAATACTAACCAAAAAAAATATTTTCTAGTAGAAAGCCAGCAAACACTTGAGCACTTTAAAATGATTATCAAACTGAATACTTGGTATAGTGGTCTAGTAGAATGATTATCGCTAATGGTGCGAGAAGTCTCAGGTTCCATTACCTGTTGTCCCCAATAAACTTATAGAAAAAACTTCTATTTTCTTGTAGAAAAATAGCTAACAGTAAACAACTTAAAATGAGTATTATACCCACAAAAACTCATCAAAACAAAAAAACTGTTGAAAAAAACGCAATGATCTTGATTTGCGAAGTATGTAGGAATGCATAGAAGCTAATTACTAGGACAATGGTCTATTGGCATGATTCTCGCTTACGAAGCGAGAGATCCCGAATCACACCCAGTTGTCCCAAAAAACTACAGAAAAAAGTTCATTTTTTCTAGTAGAAAAAACAGCTAACAGTAAACAAATTAAAACAATTATTAAACCCACAAATGCTCAGCAAAAAAAAAAACGAGTATAAAAAAAGCAATGATCGTCCTTTGCGAAAAAAGTAGTAAGGCATCGAAGCAAAAGGCAGAGAACAGTGGTCTAGCAGTATGATTCTCGCTTAGTGTGCGAGAGCTCCCGGGTTCAATTATCGGTTGTCCCCAGAATACTAACAGAAAGAAAAAGAAATTGTAATAGAACGACAGCAAACACTAAGCAACCTTCAAAAATTATTAAACTCTCGAAAATGGATGAAAACGGATAAAAACAAAATCTTTTTTTTTGTGAAACAAGTGGGAAAGCATCGACGCTAAAACATGGGACAGTGGTCTAAAGGTACGATTTTTGAGCAGAGCGGTAGAAATTCCGGGTTTATACCGCGGATGTCTCATTTAAACTAGCAGAAAAATATTACATTTTCTA